AATTGAAGCGGTTTGTCGCTTTACGTCTTTCCGGACAATTATAGCTAGCCTGGTCATGGCAAATTAAGCCACAAGGAGTAGCCAGAGTTAAACAAAAACTAGCAGAAAAATACTAGGTCCAGCACACGATCTCAAACCATGTCAATTAAAAAATGCAAAGAGACTTAAATTGTTGAAACTAAGCGCGAGCAGAAACACTGTCAATATGTCCAATGAAATGAACAACTTGCTAAGGTTTAGACGTGGCGGACTGGGAGAAAAAATTAGCTTGTCAGACCAGTTACGAAAGCTATAAAGCTACGAAATCTAACCTAAGATATAACGACACACACTACCGGACACGGTCAAAATGATATTTCTAGAGACTTTATTGCTAACTAGTGCTGCCACGGCGGGCATTTGATAAAGAAAAACCATATTTTCCTACCTGAAATCATTGTGGCTGCATTAAATCTTGCTAGTAGCTGTTTGATCCATTTGTCTTCTTGCATCTTCGACTGTAATTTTACGTTCATTACATTTTATATTCACTATTTTTCTGCCATCTACACTGGGCACGGCAAGGAAGCATGCTATAACAGATTAAAACCAAAAAAACGAATAAGCTACCGGTCGCGGTTTCGCGCTGGTGATCCAATAGAAAGCGTCGTTCTATTGGATCCGATAGAACGACGCGTTCTATTGGTCAGTTAGAACGCATCGTTTTATTGGTTAGTTAGAAAGCGTTATTTTTTTTATTTTTTTTAACCCTTGTGTGGTGTTCGGGTCTGTGGGACCTGTTTTAATTTTTCACTAAAAGAAAACTGATACAATGAATTAATTTTTCAAACTGAGACTCACTGGCTTTGGCTCATTTTCAGTGAAGAATATATATCAGAATTCATATTTAATGCCCACACACCGTACACCCCCCCTTCACATTTCTATTACATACAAGATGTTCGGGTCCACTGGACCCGGGGATAAAAGAAGTGTGGAAATGAATGTTCTGTGATCCACACACACACACACACACACACACACACACACTCACAATGTTGCAACCTTGTGTGGGAACTGCAGGTGCACAAAAACAAAAGAAACATATTCGGCACATTGTTTTCTGCTCTAATTTTCTGTCTATCTGCTAAAAATTGGGACCACACTGGCACAGCTTTGCCAGAGTGTTGTTCTTATAACCGATCAAAATGGCCGACAGGTTCTCTGCCCAGAGGGCCCTGGAATTGATTTTGGATGAGAGAGAGAAGTTAAGATAAGGTAAACATCTGTTCAGTATTTTAACATAAAAGTGTTTTAATATAAAAGTGATTTTGAGGCATTAAAAGCCACAAAATGCAACGGGTCCGTCAGACCCACAAACACTGGCTGAGTAACAACAATATGAACACCACACAAGGGATTAATCTGTTATAGCATGCTTAGAGGTGCATGTGTCAGGTTTTAAAGGAGGGGAGAGTTTTGATACATTTGGAAAATTCTAATTTGCCACGAACTTATAAATGGAGTTCCTTTAAAACGGGAAATGATAAACAACCCGTCAATTAACCATAACCCAGACGTCAATCAGCCATTTTATATCACTTTTTTCTACTCTTCCTTCTTGCAAAGTCATCCACTAATTCATCAATTGAAATCAGTAGGAGGGCACTGGTAGGGGCCCTTGAAATCAGTCGGAGGGCCCTGGTAGGGGCCCTCATATCAGTGAGAGGGCCCTGGTAGGGGCCCTCAAAATCAGTCGGAAGGCCCTGGTAGGGGCCCCTTGAAATCAGTCAGAGGGCCCTGGTAGGGGCCCTCATATCAGTCAGAGGGCCCTGGTAGGGCCCCTCATATCAGTCGGAGGGCCCTGGTAGGGGCCCTTGAAATCAGTCGGAGGGCCCTGGTAGGGGCCCTCAAAATCAGTCGGAAGGCCCTGGTAGGGGCCCCTTGAAATCAGTCAGAGGGCCCTGGTAGGGGCCCTCATATCAGTCAGAGGGCCCTGGTAGGGCCCCTCATATCAGTCGGAGGGCCCTGGTAGGGGCCTCGAAATCAGTCAGAGGGCCCTGGTAGGGGCCCTTGAAATCAGTCAGAG